CTGCCATAGTTTTTAATTGCGTCATTGTGTGTTGTTAATGTTATCGCTTTGTTTTGATTTATTTTGCTGTATTATTGTTGTTGTTTTATTGTTGTATGTGGGCTCAGCCTCTTGTAAGCCGCACTGAGTTCTTCGGGAGATGGTAGCGGGGTACAAATAAAGGATTATTATTATTATTATTATTATTATTATTATTATTATTATTACGTGGTTTGCTTAAGATTTAGAACAGGGTGTGAGATGGGAAACTGGAAGTTCTTAAATAATAGAGCTGTGCAAAATTTTGGATGCATTCATAAGTCGTTACTATTCGGCAGAATTTCATACATACGATTTGACTTCCTTTCCATTTCCTTGGAAGAAAATCTTCCCTTGGCAGGCATAAAGCATAGTGCCATTTAATAATACTTTACTTATTTATTTATTTATTATTCAAACTTATATGCCGCCACTCCCCTGGGGCTCGGAGCGGCTTACAAGAACAGCTAAAATTTACCGAATTTAAAAACAATTTAAAACAATTTAAGAATAGCAATATCAAAGATTAAAGGCCTGTCGAAACAGATATGTCTTACATGCCCTGCGGAAAGCTGATAAGTCCCACAAGGCATGGATTTCGGGTGGCAGAGTATTCCAGAGTGATGGTGCCACTGATGTAAAGGCTCTGCGTCTGGTTGCTGTTAGACGCAAGGTCTTGATATTGGGAATTTCCAACAAATCTTGGTCCTCAGAACGGAGGGATCTCTGGGGTTGGTAGGGGGTGAGGCGGTCCCTCAGATACATCGGCCCCAGACCATGCAAGGCCTTAAAGGTGAGTACCATCACTTTGAAAGTGATCCGGTGCTCAATTGGTAACCAATGCAGCTGTAGTAAGATTGGTGTTATGTGGCATCTCATTGGAATTCCCGCAAGAAGCCGAGCAGCTGCATTTTGTACCAGCTTGAGCTTCCGGATCACCGACAGAGGAAGGCCAATGTAGAGCGCATTACAGTAAGTAGTCCAGTCTTGAGATGACCGTAGCCTGGATCACTGTAGCTTTGTGGTCAATTCACAATTCTACCTACTTCTTCCATTGCAATGAATGGGCAGAATAACTAAATAAAATCATAATGAAATTTCAGAATTTTGAATTCAAAACAAAACAACACCTTCCAAATTTTTTGAAACATGAAATGAAACAAAATGTATTTCAAAACAAATTTCTGGCATTTCTCACACCTCTAATAAATAATAATGTCTATATCCTACTGTGACCATAATAAATTAGTAGGCTTTTATCCAAATTAGCCTAGCCTGTAAGAAGAATGAATCAACGGTAGTCCATGCTCTGGTTACATCCTGTATAGACTACTGCAATGCACTCTACATGGGGGTGCCTTTGAAGACTGTCCGGAAGCTTCAACTGGTCCAATGGTCGGCAGCCAGGTTACTAACAGGAGCGGCTCCCAGGGAGCATACAACCCCCCTGCTGTGCCAGCTCCACTGGCTGCCGGTTTGCTACTGGGCACAACTCAAAGTGCTGGCTTTGGCTTATAAAGCACGGTACTGGCCCAACTTACTTGTCCGAACACAACTCCACTTATGAACCACCGAGGATTTTAAGATCATCTGGGGAGGCCCTGCTCTTGGTCCCGCCTTCGTCACAAGTACGTCTAGCGGGGACGAGAGACAGGGCCTTCTCAATGGTGGCCCCTCGGCTATGGAACACCCTCCCAAGGGAGATCAAATCAGCTTCTTCACTCCTAACATATCAGAAAAAAACTCAAGACATGGCTATTCGAGCAAGGATTTGCAAATATTGAGTAACAGGCATAGGAATTGGGAACAACTACACTGGACATTTATTGGTTTATGTTTTATTGTTATAGTTATGATTTTATGGATGTTATCATGTTTATATTGTACTTGTGTTTCTATAGCATTGAATTTTGCCTTGTAAACCACCTCAAGTTGCCGGAAGGCTGAGAGGGGCAGTATACAAATGCAGTAAATAAATAAATAAATAAATAAAATCAACTGTCCCAAGCAGCTGATGCTGTGGGGAGGCAGAAGTTGCAACCTCCAGCCATTTCTCTCTCTTGGACAACGGAAATGTACACACTACACCCAGATTCCCTGCATTATGTCCTCCCCTCCACTAGCCTTCTCCACTTAGTGCCCTGTCACTAGTGCTAAAGTAATTCAATTATGTGTCCAATTATATTATGTACATGGAATGCTTGGTGGGACAGGATCTAGACCTTTACCCTAGAAGTCACAAAACTTCTTGGGCTACTTCCGTTTGTGACCAATAACTAGTTTTAAGCTCTGGTTATCCCCATATTGTCTGTTTTTAGTTCCATCATGTTTTAATATTTTGTGGACCTTTCTTTTCACCTCAATCAATATAAGGAGAGATGGAGGCCAAGGACTGTAACTGAACCCCCAATACAAGACAAGCATTTTGAACTACCCATCCCTAAACGTATAGCAATCTACTGACATTTCTCTTCTTAATAAATAGCCTTGATCTTCTATTACTGCCAGTAAATGTGCTGGGACACATCAACCAGCACCAACAGCCTTCTACCTCAGATTGCTTTAAAACAGTGTTTCTCAACCTGGGGGTTGGGACCCCTGGGGGGGTTGTGAGAGGGTGTCAGAGGGGTCATCAAAGACCATCAGAAAACAAAATATTTTCCGTTGGTCATGCGGGCTCTATCTGGGAAGTTTGGCCCAATTTGGTCATTGGTGAGGTTCAGGATTTTCTTTGATTGTAGGTGAACTATAAATCCCAGCCACTACAACTCCAAAATGCCAAGGTCTATTTTTCCCAAACTCCACCAGTATTCATATTTGGGCACATTGAGTATCCGTGTCAAGTTTGGTCCAGATCCATCATTATTTGAGTACACAGTACTCTCTGGATGTAGGTGAACTACAACTCCAAAATTCAAGGTCAATGCCCCACCCACCAAATGCATCCAGTATTTCCTGTTGGTCATGGGAGTTCTGTGTGCTAAGTTCGGTTCAACTCCGTCCTTGGTGGAGTTCAGAATCCTCTTTGCTTGTAGGTGAACTTTAAATCCCAGGAATCACAACTCCCAAATGACAAAATGGACAAAATGCGCACACACCCCCGAACCCACCAGTATTCAAATTTGGATGTAGTGGGTATTTGTGCCAAATTTGGTCCAATGAATGAAAATACATCCAGCATATCAGATATTTACATTACGATTCATAACAGTAGCAAAATTACAGTTATGAAGGAGCAACAAATGTTATGGTTGGGGGTCACCACCACATGAAGAACTGTATTAAGAGGTCGCAGCATTAGGAAGGTTGAGAAACACTGCTTTAAAAGGTTTCTCATCTACATGTTGATGTCATCCAGAATCTGAGACCAGCTGTAGCTCTGTAACCCACTGGATGAAGAATAAATCTTGGGGCTCTATACCAACAGACTCTTCAAATGCTGAACAGAAAGTGTTTAAGCTTCTGTCTCGATTATCGTTCCACCCTCAAATGTTTGATCTCTTTCCAAAACATTTTGCACGACTCTCCAAAAGCAAACCCTTTGTGTTAGTTTAGACCTATCTTTCCAATCTTCACAGTCTCACAAGACACTCCTTTTCCCCCCTCTTTTTTCAGTGGTGGCCCATGGGAGGGATAAGGCGGGATAACAAATCAAATTTGGGAATTTCCTGGACTTAGTGAACATATTTGTAAAATATATGTCTCCCCAACTCAAAACCCTCTCTCTATTAACAATGCCAACCAGAAGCTGTAAACAACTAATTGACATCCACGGACTAACAACTAACATCCATTGGGATATTGAATAGAAATTATGGAACAGATTAAGAATAGGGAGTGCTTTTTATTACCTTCAGGACTAAAATGCTTGAACAAGAATGTAAAAACTTTCCCAGAAATAATCTCCGTGCTAACAAAGGCAAACCAGGCAAGAAAATGTTGTATGACAGAATGAGAATGGACTTTATTTAAAGTGTTGTATATTTCCATAAAGGCCATTCTAGTAAACAAGAGATAATACATAGGAATTGTTTTTAAATAAGAGCCGCTTACCCTGTGTGGATAGTCTCCGCACTGACCCTGCAAAAAAGAAGAAGAGGGGATTAAAAAGAGAATAGTTGAAGTTATCAATTACATAAACTAAAATAGATTCAAGGAGACAGGTTCACAGCAGGTGCATGCTTGGCACAATTTCACCCATTTCAGCATTTAGAGAACTGGCCTGCTCAATACAGGATCATCACATACAGGCCAGTAGCCAGGATTTTGATTCGGGGGTGGTGGTGGTTGAGTTTGATTCTGGGTTATTGTTACCCCAGTACCCCCATGCATATGGGATATATGAAGCATGGTGATCAGATCATGATATGAATAAACATAACAGTTTAAATAATGTACCAGTAAGGCCTTCTCGTGGACCACCATGAGAATTGGGGGGGGGGGCTGAAGCCCCTCAAGCCCCGTCCCCGGCTACATGCCTGATCACATATTATTTCTATTGTTTTACTTAAGCTACTGAGCTCTGTTGCACTTCAAAGCTATTACTCTGATTCTTTCGTATGGTTAGTGCAATCCTCCATGAATTTGGTGTAACATGAACTTAAATATACTCGTAGCAGATTTGCTAATTTAAGCAGTAACTCTACCTATCCGACCGCATCTCTGCCTATGAACCCACCAGGACTTTGAGATCTTCCGGGGAGGCCCTGCTGTCGATCCCGCCTGCTTCTCAAGCACGGCTGGCGGGGACGAGAGATAGGGCCTTCTTGGTGGTGGCTCCTCGGCTGTGGAACGCCCTTCCTATGGACATTAGACTAGCACCATCTCTAATGGTATTCCGCAAAAAAAGTGAAGACCTGGCTGTTTGAGCAGGCGTTCGAATAATTAGTGCAATGATTGGTTAATGAACACTGGAATGGAACAATGGATGACGAATCTGGAACATGTTTTTGATGATGAGACAACAATGAATGGGTATTGTAGTAACTGTTTATTAATTGTGTAATGTGTTAGGTTGTTAACTGTTTTTATACTGTAGCACTGAATTTTTGCTGTTAGTATTTATTGTGAACCGTTGTGAGTCGCCTTTGGGCTGAGAACAGTGGTATATAAGTAAGGTAAATAAATAAATAAATAAATGATTGTACAACCAGATTTCTTCCTGACTTGGAGAAAGGAATTCCTAATAAAAATGCCTGTGTTTATGGCCTTATATGACGGTGATATTATTTGCAAAAACAACTATAAATACCAAAACAGATGAATTTCTGGATATATCTGTATCTTAAAATGACTTAAAATCTTCTTCTAGTTTCTGACATAGAGCTTGGAAACATTAGATTATGGACTACAATATCCAAAATCCCTCTTACCAGTATGGATTATGAAATTTGCAATCCAAATGGTAACTTATGTAAATAAGAATGGAACTTTACCTTTTCTCCTTTTGGTCCAGGGCTTCCCTAAGGAACACAAAAAGACACATGAAGAACAATTCTTGCAAGATGACTAAATGCAAAATGCAGAATAACTAAAGGCAACAAGGAGTAGTAGAAATATTCACTAGTTGCCCTTGATTTGGATTTTGAGAAGAGCTCGTTACCTGGCCCAACTGCAGAAATTAATGAGCAAATAGATAGACGGGCAGCGATTAGTCAAAACAGAAGAGCAGAGAAGTGGCTTTGGCGTTCTGCCAGGCTCAGAGAAAGAAAGATAAGAGATTCAAAGTTATAGCAAAACCAATTTCTGAGCGCTTGGGACATAGTTTAATGAGGAGATAAAAGTCCCAAGTAAAGGATCTGTAGTCAGATGAAGCATCATTTGGAATCAAGTCAAGATCTCAAGATCTCAAGATCTTCCAAAGTTTCTTGGAAGCTTTGCTTGGAAAAGATTCATGTTTAAAGTGCCTTTGTTTCATGGTTTTGATTCCTGGATTCTATAATTTTATATTCACTTGCCTTGGATTCATGTTTTCTGGTTTCTTGGATTTTGTTATAGAATTTTCTGCCTTGGTTTTTCGTGGACTTTGATGGACTAATTCCCTGGACTATTTTGTTCCGGCTTATCATCCTACCTAATTAGATTTACCTATTCCTTTAAAGTGCTTTTTACTTTACTGCTTTTTAATTATCTTCAATAAACGGATTGCATTTCTACTCAACTGTATGGTGTTTAAAGTCTTAAAGGCTTTTCCTGGTCTGGAGTGCAACAGGGGCAGGGATGGAACATGACCTCACAATCACTTCATTTGATAAAGAAAACACTGCACAGTTTAAAAAAACCCACCAGTGTCCTGCTGGTGACAGGAAAGCCTAGAGAAGACAATTAAGCTGGGGAAAGTGGAAGGAAAAAGGAAGAGGGGCCGACCAAGGGCAAGATGGATGGATGGCATCCTTGAAGTGACTGGACTGACCTTGAAGGAGCTGGGGGTGGTGACGGCCGACAGGGAGCTCTGGCGTGGGCTGGTCCATGAGGTCACGAAGAGTCGGAGACGACTGAACGAATGAACAACAACGTCCTGCTGGAACAAAAATACAGTGCAAAGTAAGAGGAAACAGAGTGACAATTAATTTGAATAGTGGACTTAAATTATAATTCTGTGGATTTTGAGCCAAGTCAAGCAGAAGTCTGCCAGACCACAGTCCTGTAGTATTTGATAAATTGTTTGGTGGGATTGTTTCATTAATTCAGAGAGGAAGTACATACTATATCCTGTGGTTCACTGTGTTTCAGATGCAAGATAAAACTCTGGCCTCATTGAAAGCAAAAGCATGGATTTAAAATAACCAGTACTTCAACCACAAACCGAAATGAGATACGTTGTTGGAACAAGCCAAGACACACAAGGTGGCAGCAGAATTAACAAAGTGAGGGGAATTTATGGACCTGGAATTAAGTATGTGAAAGTGTGTCCAGTTCCAAGCAAGATAGCCTAAATGGTCTGCTTTGGGTATATCTAGCTGTGCTTTCCAAGTTACTGCCTTGAATCATTTTGTGAACAGTTGATTTTTCAAAACCTCATAGATTTCCTGACAAAGATTTCTGGTCAAAAAGTAAATAAATCTGGAGAATGAAAATAGGATATGTTAGCACAATTTCTCATTTCTTCATCCCATTTGTTTGATAAATTTTTCCCCAGTCTTAATCTTCTGGACTGAAAGCACACATTCATAGCTTTCCATTAAGTGCATACTAATCCTGTAAGACCATTTTCATGTTACTCTTACAGAGAAAAACCCTGACGGAGTCAAGAGCAAAAGTGTTTTGCAGTTTTTGAAGCCTCAACATCCACTAAATACACTTAATGGTTTTTCCATGAAAATGTACTTCTAAGCTGGTACTCAAACATGTTTACAGGTTAATTCTGTGTGAATTACCCAGTATTCTTATGATGTGGTGACTGGTGTGTATGGTTTCCAGGAGAATTGCTGAATGTAGACTTCAAAGAAAAGCTGGCATTTGATAATTCCTTCCTGCCCAGATTTCATCTTCTTATGTCAGACAACATCAAGATGAAGTCAAGGATGAAGAAGTGTTGAGCTGACACTTGACAAAGCAACTATCAACAAATCATATTTGTCATTCTCCCAGCACCTCATACCCAAGAGTGAATTATTTCATTTTAACAGTGTATAGATGTTATTCGAAAAACTCCATTTTTTGCTACTTGATCTTTACTGCCCAAGTATAGATACTAACATAAATTAATACTAAAATAAATTAACAAAGTATAATAAATTAACAAAGTATCAATCATAACAAACGCTACATAAAAAACAGCCAGTGTAAACTAAAGCTTACTTATTCAAGAAGGTAATTAAAACCATGGTAACTAGCATCAATAAACTCAATAGGACTATAGAGCAAGGGTCCTCAAACTAAGGCCCGGGGGTCGGATGCGGCCCTCCAAGGTCATTTACCCGGCCCTCACTCAGGGTCAACCTAAGTCTGAAATGACTTGAAAGCACACAACAACAACAACAACAACAATCCTATCTCATCAGCCAAAAGCAGGCCCACACTTCCCATTGAAATACTAATAAGTTTATATTTGTTAAAATTGTTCTTCATTGTACACTGTTCAACGGAGAAAAAGTTGCGGGCCTGAAAATAGTTGTTCTTTTATGATTTTGGGGGTGCTGAAAACGAAAATGACATTTAAAAATGTATATTGGCTCTAGTTTTTATGATATAGCAATCACGTGATCACGTATGGTTGAAAAAATGCATGTTGCGACTTACACTATGGAAGATTCTAGAATACTCTAGAAAGTTTGATGATGCAGTATTAGTGCCGTGTGCAAAAGCCAGAAAGCCCTATATAAGGCCAGACTTTTGAACAGTGAGGGTCAGTCAGTTGAAGACTGAGACAGTATCATTAAACATCGTTTTACATTGTTCTTTTTACTGTAGTTATGCCTCGCACGTGTGTAAATAAAGCACTATGGAAAAAAGATATCAAGGCAAATGGACTCCGTCAATGCTGTCAGACTACTGCTGGAGCATTGTAAGAGACAATCCTTTCCTTGAATACAAAAGAAAAGTCAAGAGAAGCAAACAGGATATAAACTAAAGTCACGATTAAAGCGACATTTAAACTTTCAGACTTTTCAACTGCATTAGGCCTACTAATATAGTTTCTTGCTGCACAAACATAAACAATAGACTAATTAAATAAATATTTCTCATGTATAAACTATTGGCAATATAATTTGACTAAAATTTAGTAAATATTCACGGTTTATATACATGCAGTAAGGTTAGGCGCATTATCATAATATTAACGAATTACCTATTGTGGAGAAAATTGAAATAGCTGTTGCATAAAAACCAGAGCCAATTAACACATTTAATTATTATATTTGAATTCAGCATGTTAAATTTATTAAGAAACGGCACATTTCGTTTCAGTAACTGAGAAAAACTGAAAATTTGTAGAACAGTGTTATTGTATTGTTTCAAAGTGGGTTTTTTGCGCTCAAATAAGACATGTGCAGTGTGCATAGGAATTCATTCATGGTTTTTTTTTTTCAAATTATAATCCGGCCCTCAAACAGTTTGAGGGTCTGTGACCTGGCCCTCTATCTAAGAAGTTTGAGGACCCCTGCTATAGAGTATCAATCTGTCCCCATATCCACAGGGGATACATTCCTGAACTTGTCATAGGTTGGGAAACTATGGATAATAGTGAACTCTACTTAAAGGAACAACATCTACTAGATGTTGTGCTAAAGTTGCCCTGGAAGATCAGGCAAATTCTTAGAAAGATATTATCTCTAGGAGTTTGCTACGTTCTCCAGTTTGACTATAGTAACTTGCTCTTAAAGAATATTGTAGAATTGAAAGGAGGACTTAAAAATTCCATATTTTGTTTTATGTGTGCTGGTCCCATCAATACAGGAATCATACTGCATTCCCCCAGTAACACTATTTTTGTTCCGGGTTATAAATGTAATTTCCTAATGGCTTCTATCATTAAAACATGGGGAAACTGTATTAAACTGTAAGAATCTTGTTTTTTCAGGACATCTTGCAGCACATTTTGCTATAGTTTTTCAATGAATAAATATGTGTTAGAGTAGGGGTCCTCAAACTTTTTAAACAGAGGGCCAGGTCACAGTCCCTCAAACTGTTGGAGGGCCAGGTTATAATTTGAAAAAAACAAAACAAAACATGAATGAATTCCTATGCACACTGCACATCTTACTTGTAGTGCAAAAAAAATATAATACAATAATTAAAATGAAAAATAATTTTAACAAATACAAACTTATAAGTATTTCAATGGGAAGTGTTGGTCTGCTTTTGGCTGATGAGATAAGATTGTTGTTGTTGTTGTTGTGTGCTTTCAAGTCATTTCAGACTTAGGTTGACCCTGAGCGAGGGTTGGGTAAATGACCTTGGAGGGCTGTATCCGGCCCCCGGGCCTTAGTTTGAGGACCCCCGCGTTAGAATCTCAACAAATTCAACATAGGTTGTGGCAGCCACAAAAACAAAGTTTCTGGAGTATAACAACTACATTTAGAGTAAGGACCACACAATTAAATAGGAAATAACACTTTCAAGCCAGGAACAGATTCTTTTCAAATTCTGTCACATAGGGTAATCAAACACTAAGATTTTCTCTGTCAAATGACTATAACACAAAGTAATAATGTGAATGTGGAGATAAGCCATCTCCAATCATCAGAGCAAGCTGGCAAAATGTAAACATCTCTCTGTTGTCCCCATGTTTGGGTTTATTTTTTAAGAAACTAGCAAAGTTTTTGGAAATTATTTTACAGGATAAGTGTCCTAAAATGATATCCTTCATCCACAATCTGACATTATATACCCCGCTTTAGGATATAATAATCAAATTGAATAGTTACATTGTACTGATTACAGTAATTGATATTTCTAGTTTCCTCATGTCATAGCCAAAGGTGTACACCATTGGAATCTGGCATATTTGTCAGTTCACTCTGCTGCAGCCATTCTGTACTGAATTTATTTATTTATTACTAGCTGTCCCCTGCCACACATTGCTGTGGCCCAGTCTGTGAATATGTGTTTTGGGTGTGGATATATGTGTATATATATTTGTGTATATGTGTATATATGTGGTTTTGTGCATGTGTTGTAATGTAATTTTTTTGGCTTTTTAAGTCTCTTCTGCTGTGTTTTTCAGTGTTTTTATGAGTAATGGTCACCCGTTGGCATGATAGGTGAATTGTGTCCAAATTTGGTATCAATTCGCCCAGTGGTTTTTGAGTTATGTTAATCCCACAAACGAACATTACATTTTTATTTATCTAGATTTATTTCCTATATTTATATCCCACCCTTCTCACCCCCGAGGGGGGACTCAGGGCAGCCTCACAAACACTATACGGTGTCATCATAATCAAACAATCAACTATTACTAAACAATGGCTGTGTTCTCTCATGGCTCTTCACTGATGTCGGCCAAGATTGGGCACCTGTTATCTTTCAGAAAGATTTGGACTGCATCTCCCACAATCTTTTGTGGTAGATACACACTGACTAAAGTGGCTGGGTGGAAATTCTAGGCCAAAGAAAATTGGAAAGTCATAGTTGCCCACTGCTTCATGAAGTATAATTTGCATGTACAAAACACCTCTTCCAAATTGCTCAGTAGAATAACGGAGTGGATTCCAGGCAAATAACCGTCCTCAAAGAAGAATATCTATAGATCACCCCCAACCCAGTCACCATTTGTGCTCTTTCATTACTTTGAAAGCTTCCAGCATATCACATAGAAACAAAATCCAATTACCATCTCTCCCTTCTGTCCAGGTTGCCCCTGAAATGGAAAAGAAGAATTTTTCAGGCATTGTTATTTCAGGTTTGATGACTTGGAACCATTTTGGACCCTGACATCCCTCTGAATTACCCTTCTCTGCTACACCATTTTAATGATTTCTCACACAATCACGGAATAATTTAATCAATTCTGTAGGTTTTCCGGGCTATATGGTCATGTTCTAGAAGCATTTTCTCATGACGTTTTGCTGCATTTATGGTAAGCATCCTCAGAGGTTGCTCTGTGCCATACATGCAGGCGAAACGTCAGGAGAAAATGCCTCTAGAACATGGTCATACAGCCCGGAAAACCTACAACAACCCAGTGATTCTGGCCATGAAAGCCTTCGACAATACATTGAACATCTCTACGGGGAGAAACTGTTCCAAGACACACGGAAATTGGAAAGAGGATGCTTGCCATAGATGCAGGCAAAACGTCAGGAGAAAATGCCTCTAGAACATGGCCATATAGCCCGGAAAACCTACAACAACCCAGTGATTCCGGCCATGAAAGCCTTCGACAATACATTAATCAATTCTGTTTACAATCTTTTTATCAATTCTATTTATAATCAATGACAAATTTTGTTTTATTTGGCACACCTTTACCACTTCATTCATAGAGCTGCCAAAACATTACAATCCAATAATTTAGAAGTAAAGGTCTTATAGAGAGAAAAACACTGGATCAAAACAGTGAAGAGTGAGGTTCCCCCTCTTTGCTCAGACTGTTGATAATCCAAAGGGAAAGAGAAGAAACTTTTTACTTACTGGTTTGCCATCTAAACCAATTGGGCCCTGAAAAGAAAAGGAGAGAATCAGGTGAGAAATTGTATTATATTGGTTAAGAACGTAAAATGTGTGTATAGCTCATCTATGTAGCCCATAGCTTTGAATACAGTATAGCAATGATTGGAAAAGTTGCTGTGGCTGTGTTGGCTGAGTATTCTGGGAACTGTAATCTCCAAAAGCAATTTTCCAAGTTCAGTCTTGGACAACAGAAAAGGAAAGTACATTACAAGCTTTGTTGTGATTATATGAGAGTTACTATGGCATTTAGCGAAAGAAAATTACAGTGAAATCATATGCATCATGAACTTGGGTGCCCCACTATATTTATTTGATTGAACATGAATGTGGTTGCAGCCTTCAAGAATGGTACATTATATTGCAATGACAGTTTATTTATTTTTTTGGTTTCAGAATTATATTTTAGCTTTCAGGTAATAAAATTGTGCAAGCAGTTCATTACCACTATATTGTACAAGAAGTAGGATTCTTGTGACCAACTCTGACATGGATAAATAAGCCATGTAGAGTAGCCCTGGAAATTTCATAGGAGCTAGGGTAACAAGAACACTACAAAAGTGTGAAAAAAAAGTTAATTAAAAGCCACTTTAAAAAAATCAAGGAGAACACTTCTCTTGGAATATCTAGGGACTTCATCACACAAACTTGCTATTCCAGTCAGATTGAGTCCCTTCAATACTGCACCTCTCTTTAGCCAATTATGCTCCAACAACTGTATTTTCAATCACCCTGGACTTATTTATTTATTACGTCAAGAGCCAACCAAAACAGTTGTATTGCATGAAAAACAAACAAACAAAATACAAAATTTGTGAGTTTGGTAGTTGATTAAATGTCCTTTGACCAGTATCTGGCCACTTGGAGTGCCTCTGGTGTTGCCGCAAGAAGGTCCTCCATTGTGCATGTGGCAGGGCTCAGGTTGCATTGCAGCAGGTGGTCAGTGGTTTGCTCTTCTCCACACTCGCATGTCGTGGATTCCACTTTTTGGCCCCATTTCTTGAGGTTGGCTCTGCATCTCGTGGTGCCAGAGCGCAATCTGTTCAGCACCTTCCAAGTCGCCCAGTTTTCTGTGTGCCCAGGAGGGAGTCTCTCATTTGGTATCAGCCATTGATTGAGGTTCTGGGTTTGAGCCTGCCACTTTTGGACTCTCGCTTGCTGAGGTGTTCCAGTGAGTGTCTCTGTAGATCTTAGAAAACTATTTCTTGATTTAAGTCATTGCCGTGCTGGGTGATATCCAAACAGGGGGTAGGCCAGAAATGTCACTGCCTTGGTCCTTTCACTATTGGCTGCTACTTCTCGGCGGATGTCAGGTGGTGCAATACCTGCTAAACTGTGTACTTTCTCCAGTGGTGTAGGATGCAGACACCCCATGATATAGTGGCATGTCTTATTAAGAGCCACATCCACTGCATGCATACTCAGCAGCAGAGTAGCAAAGCACAAGGGCAGATGTCTTCACTGTATCTGGTTGTGATTCCTAGGTTGTGCCAGTAAGCTTTTGTATGATATGGTTTCTAGCGCCCACCTTTTGCTTGATATTCAGGCAGTGCTTGTTGTAGGTCAGAGCATGTTCCAGGGTAACTCCAGGTATTCGGGTGTGCTGCAATGCCCCAGTGGGATTCCAGTGGAGGACATGAGAGAAGCCTCCCCCCAGGATTGCAAGACATCCGGGTGTCCTCTGGGAAACATCTTCGTAGACGGCCGATTCTCTTACTCCAGAAGCGAGTTGCAGCATACAATACCCTGCATTACAACTGTTCCTTAATTTATTATTTTTAGCGCAATTTTGCAATTACAACATTCAAAACAATACCCCCCCCCCAAAGAAATAGAAATATGAAGTATAAGAAAAAAAGGCAAAAAGCCAAGTGGGGAGAACAGGAGAATACTGTCATCTAGTGTCACTTTACTGCTAGCATGGTGGCACAGAAACGGAAGAGACCCACTGTACCAAGTCCGGTGATAGTAACATTGCAGAATTGGGAACTATTAAAAGCATTACCTATTAATAGCTAGACATGGTAGAATCACTGGTGGGTGGGAGAGAGGCAGACTGGCAAGCAGATGATTTTTTTTTGTCGTGTCAAGAGCGACGCTCCTGTCGTGAGAGAATTGGCCGTCTGCAAGGACGTTGCCCAGGGGATGCCTGGATGATTTGATGTTTTATCATCCTTGTGGGAGGCTTCTCTCATGTCCCCGCATGAGGAGCTGGAGCTGATAGAGAAAGCTCATCTGCCTCTCCCCAGATTCGAACCTGCGACCTGTCGGTCTTCAGTCCTGCCGGCACAGGGCTTTAACCCACTGTGCCACCGGGGGCTCGAGATGATGATTTAATGTGATAGGGACTGTCACTAAAGTCTAGCTGCAATACTGCTTTGCCTGTCTTGTGTGATGTGTCATATGAGCAATTTTATCTCTCAAGAAGCCTTCAATACAAATTGAGCACACTGTATGACCTGCAATAGTTCTTTAAGCTTTTGAAATAAGAACAATGAATACCAGTTATGAATAAGGGAGAGCCCTATATCAAAATCAAGGCGGGAGCTAGAGAAAATACATTAAATTACTATTATTCATATATATTTAATATTTAAAGCTACAAAGCATTCTACCAATATTTTTCTCACTTTGTCCTGTTGATGTTTGAGACAAACAGTACCAAATTATTTTTGTCTCTTAGAAGTTCAGTCTTGTCTTGCCATTCTTCAGGCCGAAGGACCAGTTCATTTGGTTTGTATTGTCTTTTTGCACAAATGTTTGCTTGTAAGTGAGACCTAAGAATCTGTTGTAGTTCAGCGTGTTGCTCGAGTTGCTACTCCTAGTAGCAGGGAGAACGGGTCTACTTTGGAGTCGGAGGGAGAACAGCAGCGTCAGCACATTAGAGGAATCATTATGGCTCCAAGCGATACTAATATGTTTCCAGGCTTCTCCGATTGTGAGATGGGGGATGGGGAAGTGAGCGGAGGTGTAAAGAGGGCTGCTCGGGAGCCAGAGTCTGAGGGGGAATTACAAAGGAAGCATATTTGGGAAATACTTTGTGCACCAACAGAGGATGAAGATTTCCTTAGGTTTGAAAGGAGTTCTGGGTCTGGGAGTGAAATGGAAGAAGAGGAAGAGTTAGATTCGACCCATGTGCAACACATAAGGGATATCTGTAACTAACCCACCTCTAGTGAGGAATTTGAGGGGTTCAGTGGGGATTGGCAGCCAGGGGACTCTTGGCAGGATCTGAACCCTGATACTCGTTGGCAGAGTTGGAGGTATTGGCATTCAGCTGCAGATTTGGGAGCAGCTGAGAGTGATGACGAGATTGTGGGGAGCTCATCAAGCTCCGAGGAAGAACTTTGAGATAAAAGTGGGTTCAGTTTGGACTATATTTCGCAGAAGGCAAAGTGTCTTCATGGGACATAATTCTTTGTACTGCCAACTTTCCACCTTGGGTCCTGGGCTTTAGCTTCGTGTGTTCCTGTGCTCCTGTTTGCTCGGTGACTCCAGCGTTCCAGCCTTGCTTCTTAACGGATTTGACTTCGCTTTTGGACTTCTGGACTTTGTATGCTTATATTTTTGTGGCTGTAACAATTCTTAGTTCTGAAACTACGATTTTCCAGCTTCAAAGACTGTGTTTTTGTACTATTTTGACTTTCAAGCAATTTGCTTCATGTTTAATGCGGATTATTAGGCAGCGCTATAATCCGGATTATATTGTTGTTACTCCTATCGACTTATCTTTGGTGCCAAATTGCTCCGGCGGGCCGTAGCACTGAAGTTAAGTGCTTTGTAGGTCCTTTTATTTGCAATAAAGCTGTGTTTGATCCTTTAATTTGTGTCTGGCGTTGTTTAAGGCTTCTGGGTTCTGACAGAATCATAGTCCAATACTGGACTAAAAAGAAGAAAGGAATGGGACATCACTGCAAACAATCAAAATAAAGAAACTTTTGCTCATGTGGGTAATGAATCTTTACTTAAACCAAATATCTGAAACATTAAAGCATTTGTCATTGAGTTTTTCAATACTCAGATCTTGATGTTGACACAAATAGCTTCTTCGTTTTTAAAGTATGATATTATAGAATTTATTTTGCTGAATATTTTATAAAATTGAATTCCTTACTCTTTTTTTTTGTAAAACGGGGTCTTTAAAAAATAAATAAAACAAGAACTGAATGAAATGGCAAGATCTTTTCCATGACATATTCCCAAGACAGCCATTTTTAGAACAGATGGACCGAGAGGCATTTAGATTCGGTCATGCTGTAGAGACAGAAATATATCTTTCATACATAACACTACATATTAAAAGTGCCACTTACCGGAAACCCAGGAAAACCTCTTGTTCCCGGCTGTCCCTGAATAGAACAAAACGGAAAAAGAGATTAGAAGAAAGAGATGAGGCAGCAAGATGTTTGATTAAATCACTGTGTCAGGCCTTGCAACTGTCCACTAGCCATAATTTGCAAGATGAAAGTAGTACACTTATATTACATGGCCAGAGCAATTTCCTCCTGGCTAGAGAAAACAAACAACACAAGATACTCTTACCCCTGTGTTCTGCTAGTTCGGAAAAGAGCCCTGAAATCATTCATTCAATGTGTAAATTTCTCCATCACCCAGAAATTACATATTTTTATGCCTGCAAACAAAGGGTTAGAAGGTAGGATCATCAAGTTTGCAGACGACACCAAATTGGGAGGGATAGCCAATACTCCTGAGGACAGGAGCAGAATTCAAAACGATCTTGACAGATTAGAGAGATGGGCCAAAACTAACAAAATGAAGTTCAACAGTGACAAATGCAAGATACTCCACTTTGGCAGGAAAAACGAAATGCAAAGATACAGTATGGGGGATAATGCCTGGCTCGAGAGCAGTATGTGTGAAAAAGATCTTGGAGTCCTCGTGGACAACAAGTTAAACATGAGCCAACAATGTGATGTGGCGGCAAAAAAAGCCAATGGGATTTTGGCCTGCATCAATAGGAGCATAGTGTCTAGATCAGGGGTTCTCAAACTTTTTAAACAGAGGGCCAGGTCACAATCCTTCAAACTGTTGGAGGGCCGGATTATAATTTGAAAAAAATGAATGAATTCTGATGCACACTGCACATATCTTATTTGTAGTGCAAAAGTCACTTAAAAACAATACAACAATTAAAATGAAGAACAATTTTAACACATATAAATTTATTAGTATTTCAATGGGAAGTGTGGGCCTGCTTTTGGGTGATGAGATAGGATTGTTGTTGTTGTGTGCTTTCAAGTCGTTTCAGACTTAGGTTGACCCTGAGCGAGGGCCGGGTAAATGACCTTGGAGGGCTGCATCCGGCCCCCGGGCCTTAGTTTGAGGACCCCTGGTCTAGATCTAGGGAAGTCATGCTACCCCTCTATTCCGCTTTGGTTAGACCACACCTGGAATATTGTGTCCAATTCTGGCCCCCACAATTCAAGAGAGATATTGACAAGCTGGAATGTGTCCAGAGGAGGGCGACTAAAATGATCAAGGGTCTGGAGAACAAGCCCTATGAGGAGTGGCTTAAGGAGCTGGGCATGTTTAGCCTGAAGAAGAGAAGGCTGAGAGGAGATATGAAAGCCATGTATAAATATGTGAGAGGAAGCCACAGGGAGGAGGGAGCAAGCTTGTTTTCTGCTTCCTTGGAGACTAGGACGCGGAACAATGGCTTCAAACTACAAGAAAGGAGATTCCATCTGAACATGAGGAAGAACTTCCTGACTGTGAGAGCCGTTCAGCAGTGGAACTCTCTGCCCCGGAGTGTGGTGGAGGCTCCTTCTTTGAAAGCTTTTAAACAGAGGCTGGATGGCCATCTGTCAGGGGTGATTTGAATGCAATATTCCTGCTTCTTGGCAGAATGGGGTTGGACTGGATGGCCCATGAGGTCTCTTCCAACTCTTTGATTCTATAATTCTATGATATGTATGTATAATAGCCATTACCATCTAGTCCCCAGAACCATGTCTTAAATTGCAGCTTCCTTTTGCAGAGGCTATTCCCTAATGGTTGCTCTCTCTCTACAATTGATCCCACATTGTGTTGGGTCCTCAAGAGACATTTCTACCAAATGTGGTTCAGCTTTAGGACATACTTATAAGACACACAAATGACAGGCTTCCTAGTGCCTGATTATTGATTTTGGAGTTTAGAAGCATCTTGTGAAGCCAAACTATGCTGGCAGAAACCTTCTTTGGTTCTCGTGGGAGAAATCATGTAAGCTACTGTAAAAAATACCAGAAAACGCATGTATAAATGGAGTCTTAAACATGTACTGAATTATACCATTGCATTAGAGCAAAAGCAATTTTGCTATTGGTTGTGCATTTTATCATACAATCTATCTATACACATAATAAAAGTGAAAATCTGTATGTGGCACAGGTTCACACCAGTGGTTCTCAACCTGGGGTCCCCAGATGTTTTTGGCCTACAACTCCCAGAAATCCCAGCCAGTTTACCAGCTGTTAGGATTTTTGGGAGTTGTAGGCCAAAAACATCTGGGGACCCCAGGTTGAGAACCACTGGTTCACACAAACAGCCTCCAGCCTCCACAAATAGGCTATTGTTTCCAGTGCTGAGAAGACAGCAAGTCACTCTCTCGAAGGACATTGCAGGTTATAGCAAGCACATCCCGGTGTTCCTTTCTCTCTTTATTTGCATGACCCCACCCACTGCTTTTCCCTTATCCCATTCCAACCCTTTCCTATGGCACACAGCAGAGGAATTGATCAGCAATTGAACATACTGGAGAGGTTTGGAGAGAATTCACAATGATTTATAGGAGTTGTAGGGACTGGGATGCATAGTTCACCTGCAATCTAAGAGAACTCTGAACTGCACCAATGATGGAACTCACTTGGCATACAGACCCACCATGGATAATTGTCCATGCTTGTAGAGTTTAGGGGTGATTACCCCAAGAGTTGTAGTTCACCCTTCTCCAGAGAACAGTGATCTCAGCCAACGATGGATCGGGACCAAACTTGGCACACAGAACTGACATGGCAATTGTGCATACTGGCTGCCCTTGGGGGTGATTGCCCCGGGAATCTGGGAGTTGTACTTCACCCCTACCTAGATATCACTGAACCCAGCTGTTGTCAGATCTGAACCGAACTTGGCACACAAATCCAACATGGCCAACTTTAAGTAATGGCAGGGTTTGGGAAGGACTGACCCACAATTCTGGAAATTGTAGTTCACCCACATCCTTATGGGAACATTCATTAAAAACAAAAAGACTGTTTTTTTCCTAATAAATAGCATTACACATTACCAAACTGATATTACCAAACTTCACAAAACAAACAATGCCTTCTCAAATAACCCGGGCACCGCCGGGTCCCCAAGCTAGTAGTTTATATAAGTTAGTTGGCTAGCTGGTGGTTACACAATCCTTTGTGCAACTGATTCTATATATTCTGTAACATTTCATAAATGAAAAAGAGGACACTATGGCCAAGCAACATAGAAATTGTCCTGTTTTGCTCTTAAAAAACAGCCTTAATGCAAAATTGAAAGTAAAAAAAAAATGCTTTACTCCAGCAAACAAAATAAGCAAATGCAATTGAAAAAGGAAACAAGGAAGTCTTACTACAGACACCAATGAAAGTCTTTAGCAAAGTCCCAGCAAAATCAGCAGACAAGAAGGCACAATTCATGAAGTCTTAAACACAAAGTAGGTCATGGCAGTAACAGACGTGTTGTTAGCAGCGAAAAGCTAAGTTCTCCTGCTTCTGATTTACCCCATGCAGGAGGGCTTAGGGCGTCACCCAATTAGCTCATCAATCTCTTAGCAGCTAATTGAGATGACCGCCGCCTGTTCTCTGACTCCCTCCGTCTTTCTACAAAAGTAGGCACCTGCAAAACTTCATTGTCGGATTCTTCTTCCTCTCCCTCCAAGACCTGAGTACCTCCCTGCTCCCCTTCCTCTTCTGACGATGAGGAATCTTCAACAGAAATGCAGGCAAGATGGCAAAAGTTATTAATGCATATACAAACTAGTAGGCACGTTCAAAATGGCACCTAATCCTGTTCTGATTTTGTGTGCCCCCCTCCCCTGTTCGGTTTTCGGGAAGATTGTTTCTGAAACGGAACTCAAGGTTCTGAATTACGACTCCAAACGGCCCCATCCTAATCTCCTGGAATCTTTCTGGAAACAGAATGGGGGAGGGGGGATCCGAAATTCAAAATGAAAACAGAATGGATTTGCATATCCCTTCAAACTAGGAGAGGTTGGGAAAGACAAAGTTTGTCCCTGCTGAATTAACAACAACAAAATTTTATGTATATACCGCTCTATCTCCCCAAGGGAACTCAGAGTGGTTTCCAAGTAACTGAGTATGAACTATGTATTGTCGAAGGTTTTCGTGGCTTGAATCTTTTCACTTGATGTAGCTGCTGATTTTTCTCTTTCCTAGTTCACTAACTGAATCAAGCAGAAAAGCCAACTACGAAAAGGCAACAGCATAGAACAGTGGTGAGGGACCTTAGGTTTTCAAATTAATACCTATGACCATTATTAAGGGCCTAATTAGAAAGCCCTTGTGAAGTATCTAACTTCTCCAGGCTTCCAAGAGGAAAGAGGGAAAAATGGGGTGAATCTGCTGCCCAGCGCACAGCTCCCTCTCCATGATGCTTTTCTCATCACATGGGGAAAGTGTCACCTTTATG